TAGCGGATTGGCTGGTCGACGGATTTCGGCCCTAGTACCCGGGGGCCTCCCACAGCACTTACGTCCAATTATTTGCATTATTGGACAAAAGCCCAACGCTTCACAAAGCTCTGCATGACGGCCCTCCCCCGCATATATCCTGGCCGGAAATCTTTCAGCGAATCCGACACATTTCAACCCTGCAATTCTGTCCCCCAACACCCCACCAGCCTCCTCCGGACCAGCCACCTTCAGACCAGCCACATTCAGACCAGCCCGAGGGAAACGATGTTGTGGTTCCAGCCAACCAAACCCCCGATCCGCCACCATACAGAAAGCTCAGACAGTTGGTGGCTAGCGGACAATACGAGAAACCCCTCGAGCGGAAGGACGGGGTCGTGGTCATTCCACTAAGACAGGCCGGGGATAGGATGGAATTGGGTCTCACTCCAGTGCAGGGGGGGGTAACACTCCAGGGATGGAGATTCTGTAATATATGGTCCCTCCCTGGTTTGAGGGACAGCGATTTCCGGAAAAAGGCAGAGTTTTTCCTAAGCCGTCACTACCCGGTCGGCGCCCTCGCAACGCTTCCACAGTTCGAGGGGTTGATGCGGGTGGCCACCACGGACCTGTACGTCCTTTTTGAAGAGGACAAAGATTCAGACCTGAAATGGCTCAACCATGGAGCCCTGATGAAGCCCCCACTACAGCAGATAAAGACTGGTTCCTTCTGGTCAGAGGAGGATGTACACACGTGCCTGTCGAGGATTCTCAGGAACGGACAACTATGTACGGTCAACTGGTCCGACCGGCCTTGGGGGAGAATCTAATAAAAAAAGGAAGAATTGATGGACAGCATCGACACTCTGTATTGCAGGAACCCCCAGTGGAGAAACTGTCTTCGATGCGCTGACCTCGACCTAAGGACCCTAAATGTCAATGGTCTGGCCTCCTTTAACCCCTCTAAACGGCAAGCAATTTGGGATCAGTTGAAGGGAATAGGGGGAAGGACATGGCCGGATGTCATCTGCGTTCAGGAAACCCACCTGATGGATGAACCTGAGCATCACCGGGCACATAAAAGCGCTTGGCCTCACCAAGCCTTCAGAGCGCACGCAGTATCACCAGGATCAGCAGGGGTGGCAATCTGGGTACCACCCGGGTCCCGTATCGAAGTGGTGAACTGGGTAGTGGACGAAGAGCAGGGGAGATGGGTGTCGGTCCTTGGGATGCTGGAATTGGAACTAATATGTATCTTCAACATTTACGCCCCCAATACAACTGCGGAAAATGACCGCTTCTTCACGCAGCTCAAGACCCTGGTACCCCAGGGAGTCCCCATTGTGATGGCCGGGGATTTTAATGCCACACCGGATAGATGGATGGATAGGTGGAATACCCAGAACCCCTTTCCGAACTACGTAGAGGACGACGAAAGACTAATAGCGGGCCTCTGCGGTACTCTGGGTCTAGTGGATGCACACCGATATTTGCATCCAATGGATAAGGCCTACACATGTCTTCGCACTAACGATCAGGCAAGACACTCAAAATCACGCATAGACCTGATCTTAATTTCTGAAGAAATTCAAAACGCTCTGCAACGTACCGTCATACTTCCGCAGAGCCCACACCCGGGCCTGGATCACTGCTCATGTGGTGCCATATTTTCCTTTCAGAAGCGTCCGGATCAGGGGCCTGGGTATTACAAGCTCAACACGTCCTTACTCACGGACGAAACATTTCTAACATATATTCGGGATGTATGGGCCTACTGGCGAGACCAAAGACAGTCCTTTGACTCAGAAGTGCGATGGTTCACCAACGGACTCTTCTTCCTAGCCAAGAAATGTAAGGACTACTCCAAGCTGATAGCGGGCAGACGACACGCACAAGAAATGGATATTCATAGGCGACTCCACAACCTGGTCAACCAGGACAATTCGAGCGATCACAATCACACGATTCAAGAGTTGAACGACCAATTGTTACAGCTCGCAAATCACAGATGGCAAGGAGTCAGAATTCGGGGCAAACTGCAAAAATGGACTACCGAAGGCACCATGGATGCTCAATTCTTTAGCATGGCATCAATAAGAGCCCACCGCACTACCATAGAGGCTTTCCTAGACCCAGTGACCAACGAATTAGCCATAACTACAGCTCACTATGTAAGTATCGCGCGGTCCTTCTACAAGGATCTCTTCTCTTCTCACATCCCCCCGCAACCAGAGACCGATCGACTTAGAGAGATGGAAGACTTCCTGCGCCCGATGGAAAACCGCCTCTCCCCCTCACAGAAGGAAAGATTAGACCGCCACATCACTAAGGAAGAGATTTGGACGGCGCTCCTGCAGATGGATGAGGAGAAAGCCCCCGGGGGGTGTTAACCTTGTTGCATAAAAAAGGTGATAAGATGAACATCCGGAACTATAGGCCCATCACCCTTTTGACGGTGGTCTATAAGATGCTGTCAAAAGTTTTGGCCAATAGAACTATCGAAGTGATCGAGTATCTCATCCACCCGGCCCAAACAGGGTTCATCCGCAACAGAAATATTCAGGAAAACATACTGTTGGTCAATGAAATGATTAGCCTCACGCAACAATCCAAAAGCAATGCAACCTTCATCTTCATTGACTTTGAAAAGGCTTACGACCATGTTGACTGGTTGTTTTTGGATAAATGTCTAGAAAAACTAAATTTTGGCACTGAATTCAGGCGGTGGGTGGGCATCCTACACCAGAACGCAACCACGAGGGTGCAGATAAATGGATCTCTGGCTCCGGAAATAAAGTTGCATCGGTCAGTGAGACAGGGTGATCATAGCCCCCTTTCTTTTCATTATCATAATGGAAGCACTGACAGCCAACCTCCGGCAGAGCAAAGATCTAGCTAGAATCCGGGTGGCTGGTATTCCTGAGGATGCGATTCCGGTTTGCTCCTTGTTCGCTGATGACCTCACGATCATGGTTGACGCCACCCAGCAGAACATGGAGGCAATTCAGAGATTGACGAGCCGTTTTTGTACCCTCTCAGACATGACTGTTAATTGGGGACAAAAAACGTTAGGATGGTGGCTCCATCACCAAGGGGGCCGCCCCCCGGAAGGACACCACGTTACATGGGTGCCTCGAGGGACCCTAATGCGGGTTTTAGGTGTCAAGATGTCTGCAGAAGGGAGGACCCCAGATAACGACGAATGGATTTCATCCTCGGCCTTGGCTAAACTCTCCCAATGAAACCACCGGAATACGTCCCTCTTCGGACGGGCACTGGTTATCAACAACGTAGTCCTGGCATCCCTATGGTATAAATCAGTGCTCTGGCTGTTGAGTGATGGCGCCTTAAGAACCTTAAAAAGGAAGGTGGCGGCCTACTTATGGAGAGGAGACAGCGAAACCCCCCTTGCTATCAGTCGGGTCGCGTGGGACTCGGTTACCCAGCCGAAGACCAAAGGGGGACTCGGCATATTGGACCCCCTTATCCAATCTCAGGCCCTTAGTTTGCAATGGATTGTGCGGTTGATCTTCGCCGAACCGCTGGTATGGAGGCCCCTCGCACTGCAGCAGATTGCCCGGCTTGCCCCTGAGGCTCCTTCCACCGTCCACCCTCTCCAATGGTTAGATGATCGCTATTGGAGAGTGCCCCGTCGTCCCCGGGGAGGAGAGCGGCGAAGTGACGACCTATGGCCCCGCCTGTTAAAAATATGGAGGAGACTCCCACCCCCGAGCCCGCCACCCCCAATTAGGTGGGAAGAGGTGGCACGACAACCCCTCTTCGGCAACCGCTGGATCACGAACGGACAAAGTCAGATTTATTGTTGCTCTGACGCTCCATGGAGAGGATGGGTGAAGAACGGGGTCACTCGGGTGAGGGATCTGTGGGATGCCGAGAAGAAGGATTGGAAGGGCCCGGGGGAGATGAAGGAAAAACTGAGATACTACCATAACACGGAATCCGCAGTGGATGACATCTTGGAAGCCCTGCCAGTGGGCTGGAGGCTCATCCTGCGCAAAGGCCCTCAGCTGCAGGAGGGGGACTGGGTGTCTAAGGACGGGTGGCCCGCTAGGGTGGGTCTTTCACCTGGTACGACCGGAGGACGCGCTGATAGAATGGTATAACGTAAAGGAAGGGGGGCAGCTAATTGGAAACCACGACCCCTGCCAATGGACATCGACAGTGACCCTATACAGGGTCAGAATCATAGGGGAGGGGGAGAACCGACGGGCTTTCATGCCTGAGATGGCCGTGCAGGATCTACCCATCGACCCGCTGGAGTGGGTCTGGAACCAGGACTCACGACAACACCCGGAACAGTCAAACTCCAAGGCGCTGGCGGACCTCTCAGTAAAAGCAACTTACAGAAAGATCAAAACCAAACGGTGTCTGAAAGAGGTGGTGATTGATAGATGGCAGAGGCACCTCAATGTGGACAGACAGCTCCTCACACCAATTCGGTGGTTCTGCGACTCCAAGTGCAGACCTGCCAAAATTACGTCCCTGCAATGGCAGATACTGCACCGGTGTCTGCCAACAAATGACTGGTTAATCGATCATTCACACCTGGAACTGTCTCTTATACACATCTAGATGTGTATAAGAGACAGGGGAGAGGGGGAGGGAGAGGGAGGAAGGGAAGGCAGGAAAAGAATACAAACAAAACCCCCTCAAAAAAAAGACGAAACGAGAGAGTTTGTAGTGTCACCACGCAGACGCCAAGGTGACGAGGAAAAAAAAATAGAAAAAAAAAAAAGAAGGTGACCCAAAAAAAAAAAAAAAACAGGAGATACACTCTTCTCGCAAAGAGGATTATTTTTCCTTTTCCCTTTTGGAGTTTTCGATCCTACGGGTTTTGTCTTAGCGCCGCCCTCCGCTCTCAGTGGGCAATGGCGACCAGATTCGATGAATTACAGTAAATTTAAAAAGAAAATAAGAGAAAAAAAGATTGCAAGATAACCCCTCGATGGCGATGACGATCGATCGCTACGTTACGTACGAAAGGATCGGGATCGGGATCGGGATCGCAACAGCGATCAATGGCCATGCTGCAGACAAAGAAAGCAGAAGGCGATCGACGGCTTATATCCTTTTTTTTCTTTTTCTAATTGAGAGAATGGCAATGGCGAGGCGATGAAGATGGAGGATGGACATGGAAATAGAGATGGAGATAGAGATGGGAGATAGAGATGGGAGATAGAGATGGAGACGGAGATGAGAAGGATGATCCGTGTTCTCCTTCGAGTCGACTGCCATCGCCGTCGCCATTGCCGATCCATCCGTCTTCTGCAATGTGCAGACGAACAAGAAAAGCGGATGGCGATGAAGATGGCGATGGCGATGGCGATGGCGATGGCGATGGAGATGGCGATGGAGATGACGATGGAGATGACGATGGAGATGACGATGGAGATGATGGAGATGATCATCGACGGCCACCGTCTTCCTTCGAATACACCGCGTGGTCATTATAGATGAGACGGCAGAAGAGCAGAAGGCATGGCGATGGCGATCGCGACGCATTTGGCTCACCTTTTAGTCCCGATGCAGCAGAAATGACCGTGCGTTCCATTCGAGGGAAGAAGAAGGTAGATTGGTCAACGACCACCGACTGGATTGGAAAAGAAAACGGACGCCGTAATAATGTTTTCTGATCTGTTTTCGTTATTTGAAAAAAGAAAAAAAGAAAACGGCGAAAGATAAATATTAGAAAAGAAAGAGGGGAAAAAAAAAAAAAGAAAAAAAAAAAGAGGAAGGATGGCGATGGGATGGCATGGATGACCAGATTGCAGAAGGAAGACAGATGATGACGAACGATGACGATAGCGATGGCGACGGGATGGCATGGATGACCCAGATGGCAGAAGGAAGAAGAGAGACGATGACGATGGCGATAGCGATGGCGATGAGCAGATGAATTCCCGATCCCGACATAGAATGCCCATGGCTATGGCGACTCAGATCAGCTAAATGAGATGGCAGAAGAGCAGAAGTCATGGCGATGGCGATGGCGATCGGGATCGGGCGATGGCGACGGCGATGGCGGTCGGGATCGGGCGATGGCGATGGAGATCAATAGCTGGATTGCAGACGAGGCTCAGAAGAAAGGATGACGACCACCTTTCTTTTTTTTTTTGTGTGTGTGTACGTCTTTTTTTTTTTTGGAGACGGATCATTTCGCCCTTCTTCTTCTCCTCCTTTTTTTTTTTTTTTTTTTTTTTTGTGTGTGTGTGTACGTCTGTGTATACGTGTATGTGCGAATGATAGCCAGCCTGCCTTGAATTTCTACTACCGTCTTTCCCCAATAGAACGCCCGGCCATTATAGCAGCAGCAGCAGCTGTATTTGCCGCAACTTTCAGTCCCGATGCAAGGCATTTCTATTACCGGAGGAGAGGAGGAAGGGGGGGGGGGGGCGGTTCTGTTCAGGTGACGACTGTAGGGGTTGTACACCAAGACTTCATAGTTACTAAATAACTTCTTCACGTGAATGAACGCACATGGCTGTCATCTTCGACCAAATACATTCATTCAGGGACACATGGCACAGAAGACAACAGTCACGGACATTCGTTCGCGTTGCGTTACGTTACGTTACGTTACGGTAGATTTTTTTATTTTTTTTATGTTTTAAAAGATTTAAAGGTAGCGCGATTAGTGCAAGATAACGGCTATGTGCATGCCATTAGTAACAAAGCACCTGGCTGTTAAATCCATGAAAAAACAGGGTGACTAATGCATGCACCTGGCTGATATCTTGCGAAAGATACATTTCATACACTTTAAAAGTGTTTTGAAACGTCCCTCTTCTTGAATTCTTTTTCAGAATCGAGGAGAAAAGCAGGCCTTGATTCCTAATAAATGCACACGTCAACGGGAAAGGGAAGGGAGAGAGAAGAGAAACGGAGAGGGAGGAGATGATTGATGTGTGGTGGACTTGGGAGAGGGAGGGACTGAGAGAAAGGGAAAGGGAGAAGAGTAAGAGAGAGGGAGGAAGAGACTACGA